TCCTACGGATATGGAAGACGAGGAGCAAGAGTGCAAACAGGAGCGGCGGCCGTTGGAGGTTGAATATAGTTCTCCACAGTCTTCGGCTGGCCCTTTGTCCCAAACACTGTCAAAAGAGATCGTGTCAGTTGGTGTTGAAACTGACCAGATGAACGACTTAGTGACCAGAGCGTTTGAAGCCGAGAAGGTAGAATTAGAAAACAAACTACAAGACCTTACCAGTCTTTTCGATCTTTCTCAGAACGTGGCTGCTTCCTTTGCTGGTGTGATTCGAGGCACCTGTGAACCTGCAAGATTTTTGGAGTATGCCTATCTTCTCGAGTCGACTGACCCTCTCCAGCACGAATTTATTGATCTGCTAAAGGAGACCCTGAACCGGCAGGCCCAAAAGTCGCTTCCATCCAATAAGAACACGTCTTCAGTGAGTACACAAAGTGTGCAAGTACTGCAGTGCTGTGCCGAAACATTGACCGATAAGACGGCTCATCAAGACTTAAGTTGTCAGACAACGATTAAGTGTGAAGTTACGGCCGGCGCAAGTGACAGAACCTGCGAAACATACTCCTCAGAACATTGTCAGACCGACTTCAGAGTCGTCTGTCAACAGTGCCTGGTTATTGTGCAGTTTATGTCCCAGTGCTGTGACACCTTGAGAACCGGTGTATTGTCTGTCGATCACGCACGTGTTCTACAGCAATTGGATCAAATGCCTGCGGACTCGGTTACAGCCCTCCAATTGCGAAATATTGTGTCAAACTTCAGCTCGCTGTTTCTTCAAAAGATCGAGAAGCTAGGTCAGGATATGGGTTCGCCGGCTAGCACACTCGCAGACCGCGATGAGTTCAACGCTATGGCGCGTGCCACCTCCGATGCCTTGAGTTCGCCAGACCCAGACGCAGCATTGGCCGAATCGCAACAGCAGTTGCAAACTATGCAGCCCCCAGATGCGGTTGTTACGTGCATGCGACAACTTCTTAGTGCACATGTTGCCCTTCGAGGACAGTACAAGCAAGCAGAACAAGACAAACTAGCTTTGGCCACTCTCGTACGCACGAAACACGCAGAAAGTGAGGCTTACCACGCAAAACTGCAGACTCTGCTTACTGAACGTCAAGCTAACGTGAGTGTTTCTGCCACCCCATTCTTCCTAGGTCTTACTTGCTTCCTTTTTGATAATGATAGGCTCTTGTGATGCTCATGCTGTTTGGACAAGTTTGAGTCAAACGTTTGTGAGGTCTATAAATAATTTTGCCACCCATTCTCGTTTGCCTGAATGAAAACAAATCATTTTAGTCATCTTATTTTTTTACTCAGCTTTCCTCTCTTAAATACCGTCCTCTTCAAGCCAAAACTCTTGGTTTTGAAATTTGTTCTGAAAAATCTGCCTGACATGCAGGAGAGTTCAACTCTGCTATAGTGGACTAGATTCGCTTACCGACTTTTCACTTCGCAGCCTGTTTAGCTTTCAGAAGGATTATTACTTCACCCTCAACACTGAGCTACCATATCTGAGGAATATTTACGTTGCTACACGTTGTGCTTCCATTTCAGGAGGTCATGGTCAACCTCTGTTATTCAGCACAAGTTGCTTGGCATTAGAACGTCGAGCCATTAGCATCAGTCAATAAGGATTCGAGTTATCTCGCTATCTAACCTAGTCAGTTCCATATTTAATATTGCGAGAATTCGTGGCGTGCATTCCTTTCTTGATTTCTGTCTCCACGAATGCGAATGCTTGGTAGTGGGACTTCAAAAATACTTGAATTTACTTGTTGTTTGCAACGGCAATAAATTCGTAATTCGTAAGGGTAATTCTTGCCATCTACAATTTACGTTTATTTTACGAGGCAATTTACCGTTGAAATTGGTGCGCGAAACATTTTTTTTCATTCTCCTCTTTTATCTCTATTTGCCGGATATCAGGTGGCAAACACAGAATCGGGCGCTGCAAGCATAGACAAATTGAATGCCGAACTTCAGCGGTTAAGATCTCACCTCCTGCAGGTATAAATTATTGTTTGCCTACTGAAAACATTGAATGTATTTGGTTGACTGGTACACTACTCATGCTTTTTTATGTTCTTTTACATCGTTTGGTATTACTAAGTCTGTGTTTAGCAGGAAAATCTTATTTGAGTATTATTCGCTTAGTGATCATTTCAGTTGTTTAGTAGTTGAATGCTGTTTGTTTCCTTTCTTGTCTATACTGGTACCACGTAAAAGTTTAATATTTAACTAGCCTGTAAACCGACAATGTCAATAGCCGTCGTAGATATTCTCTTTGTCGAACCATACTTTACTAACAGGCACTGTAAAGATTTAAAATTCTCATTAGGTAATGACAAATAGAAAGATAATTTTATAGATAATTTGTGAAACCACCAACCACTCACGGCTCGTACCTTGGTAAAGGTCGCCCAGCAACACATTTTTGAAGTGTAAACCAAGCTTAAATTCTCTGTAATCTATCAAAATATAGTTGGAATAATCGGGACATGCAATGTCCTTCAGACATTACAGACTTTCTTATTTGAAGTCACAAAGTCCATTCTTGCAACTTTGTAATTTTAGGTCTTTTAATTGCCCCGTGCGTAATATCTATTGTGTAAAAACCCTGGACAGTTGCTTCATGCAATACCAGCCCATCAGCGTATCTTTTCTCGGAAGGTCCCGTGTGTGAGTGGCCTGAAACGAATGTTACTTCTCATTCTCCTTGAAAAACTAGCATTTAGACCCGCGCTTTGGGGTAATTTTACGTTTGGCAAAACAAGGAGGCTAAGTTTTAACTGGTTGTCTAGTTACACTTTGCATTTAAAGGCAAATTAAAAGGAAATACTTAGATTTATAATTCCGAGCTGGCCAATCTTACCTCGTCATTTCAGGTCCTCAGCTTCAGCCTGAATCATGAGCACTTGCAAATACTTTCAGAAGATTGTAGCCTTGGTTTGGTTTCGTGTAAATCTAATCGTTCTCCGTCCGACGGGATTTGCTCCACATTGTGCTGAACAATTTCCTCTTTTATTCAGGATATCAAATTCCGATTAGGGTTACATAAAGCCATGAGCTTAGGAGTAAAAAATTTAGGTAACCTGTACGTACGGTCGGGATGTTCTCGGTTGTCTGCTTGCAGCGAGATTGTAATAAGGTGTTTCTAAGATGCGATTTCATCGGTTTTAATCAAAAAACATAGTTCTTGTTTGATCTGTTGCTTTTTCACAT